TGTGCGACCGGGCGCTCCCTCGACTTGGTCGGATGACATATCGTATCAGGAATGTCAACCGTTGAAATCGAAAACAGTAATCAGAAGTGTTTTTTTTTTTTCAAAGAACCACGTTAACACAAAGTGAAATTCATCTGCTTGTGGATTTATTTAATATTGATATGAACCTAATTGCCTTTATTTAGTACTAGAATAGTGGTCTGAATTAGTATAATCTAAATATTATAAATCCATTCACCACTACCTAAATCTTAAGTTGAAAATAAGATAATTGGAATCTAAATTCGTTATTCTAATACTGAAATCTTTGAAGCTGTAAGTAACAGCTAGCAGAATTTCAGTGTTTTGCTTCCAAACTATCGCAACACTGACACCAACATTTGATAGAGCAAGCTTCCTTTACCAAATTGCATTGTTAGTTTGCGTGGGTGTGTTTTGATTCTCGAAGTTTCAAAAACTTTGGTTTCAAATGATTTTGTTGTTGTTGTTGTTTGATACGTCTATGAACAATGATGGCAACGCCACCACAGGATCCATCAAGACGATCATTTTGATAAATGAAATAATTTGCGTCCCTTTTAACCTTATGGTAAGGTTTAAGGGCAATATGCACGTTATAAACTATCAAGAAGTTAAATAGCTCGACTTCATTATCTTTAAGAAGTCAAGCATTCCAATTCAAAATATTTAATGATTTAAAATAATGACTGAATATCAAAGTTATCACGACATTGTTCTCAAATTTTACTCCAGTTTGAATAGAATCAAACTTGGAGTTAGTTTTTTGTATATCTCGCGCAACCCGAGAAAAGGGCCTATCATTGTTAATCGATTCTCTTCATCGATTTTCTCTTTCGCGAATAACCCGACTGCAAATGAATTTCCCATTCAGTGTGTTATTTCAGGCGCAAGACAACATCATCTTCTGTCGAACTGTGCTGCGAGCTTAGCGATAAATTCGTTTAAGTTGCCGTGGTAGACCAAAGAGAAAATCGATGAAGAGAATCGATCAACAATGATAAGCACTTTTCTCGTGTTGTGCGAAATATCAGTAATCATGTCGATTTATGATATCTGTAAAAATTCCATTTTAGGATTTTTTTTTTACTTTATTAGAGAGATTTTTAGCCGTTGGCTAGTTCATCTCTAAAAAGGAGTAGTAATGCTACCTAAGTCAAGATCATCACAATTTTCGTTAGAATTATGATGGTTAGAAGTTTGATTTCGTTTTATATCAGCTACAATAGCATAGAGGTAACTCTAAGACTAGAAGGTCCCGAAATAACATCATAGAGGTAACTCTAAGACCAGAAGGTCCCGAAGAAACGAGCTCAACTTTCATAGCGAATCAAAACAAACATAGTGTAGTACTGGAATTTATACTAGAATGGGATACGTTAATCGATTTGTTTGGGATCAATAGGCTAGTCAAGTAGTGAGCCAATTTAAAATCGTTAGTTTCGTATTGATTGTTGATAACATGCTCAACTTTTTGGCTCAGCTCTGGTACCATAGAGCTAACTCTAAGACCAGAAGGTTCCAAAAAAACGTGCTCAACTTTTTGGCTCAGCTCTGGTACTATCTTCGGTCCCAAGCTAATCAATTCACCCCTTGAAACATAGGAAAATCCACGAACCTCTCATTTTGTCTGTCAAACTTTCATAGGGAATCAAAACAAACATTGTGTAGTACTAGAATTTCAACTGGAATGGGGTACGTTAATCGATCTGCTTGGGACCAATAGGCTAGTCAAGTAGTGAGCCAATTTCAAATCGATAGTTTCGTATTGATTGTTGACAATAGCCCTGCCATAATGCGTCTTTGATTTGAGCCTAAATACACGAACTCGTCGTCCACCTCGATTTCTTTACCGTCAATGTGAACTCGGGATGGGAGGCTAACATTGTCTTCCCTAGAACCTCTCTCACTCATGTATTTCGTCTTCGATGCGTTGATGGCAATTCCAATCCGCCTAGCTTTAGCCTTCAGTCTGATGTACGTTTCCACCATCGTCTCAAAGTTCCGTTGATGTCATCGGCAAAGCCAGGAAGCTAGATGGACTTCCTGAAGATCGTGCCACTCGTGTCTATCCCAGCTCTTCTGATCACACCTCCTAACGCGATGTTGAATAGCAGACACGAAATTCCATCACCTTGCCGTAACCCCCTTCGAGATTCAAAGGGACTCGAGAGTGTCCCCGATACTCGAACAACTCACATCACTTGATCCGTACTCGTGCATAATCTGCCATAGCTGATCTCGATCAATTGTGTGGTATGCGGATTTGAAATCGATGAACAAATGATTTGTGGGCACGTTGTATTCGCAGCATTTCTGTAGAACTTTTGTACTATCACTATTTATGCGGGGGAACGCAGTTTGGCATAACATAACCTGTTATAGTAGTCGTTTGCTACAGTGGCGTCGCGTAACCTCACTTTTTACCTGTTCAACAACTTTGAAAACGTTATTTAGGGTCATGTTTACATTCAAATTTACATTCAAACAACTGATTTAATCAGTTTCAAAAGGCATAGGATCTTCTAGTTTTACTGATTTGTATCCATTGAAACCAATCTTGTTTTGTTTGTTTACGTTTTGAGAATTGTTGAACATGTAGATTGAGGTTAGGACGACGCCACTGGTTTGCTATAATAGTAATTTGGCATAATTATATTAAAATTAATATATCAGGCATAACATTTGATAACAGCACAAGAGCATTTGTAAACAAACTTTCTAAGGCCCTTTACACGTGAACCAAAGTATGGCCACGCAAACCAACAACATCATCGGATAGGGGCAACTAGCACCTTTCCGAAAGTGATATTGGTTTGCGTGGACGTACTTTGTTTCGCGTGTAAAGAGCCTTAGAAAGTTTGTTTACAAATGCTCTTGTGCTGTTATCAAATGTTATGCCTGATATAATGCTACGACCTTCCAGCTACAGTGGCACTTCAGCCCACTGGCGTATTTTCAGTAGAGATTTTCCCTTCTTTCAATTATTAGCTGTTTTTTCGAGTTTTATTGTTGCAGTAATTATTGGCGGTTTCTCATATAGAGCGCAACCAATTATTATTATTAATTTGATACTTAACTAAAGGCCCAAACGCAATGTGGGCGGAAGCGGAACGGAAACGGAAAGTATGACAGTTGTCACTAATGACATCAAGATGCCTAACCAAAGTCGATTTGGATCTAACTAGTTTTCAATCCGACAAGTAGGCTTACTCAGATCGGGCTTTTCCGCTGCCGTTGCCGTTGCGCTTCCGCCGTCATTGCACTTGGGCCTTAAATGTCCAATACTTCGTACTCAACCATGTTTCTAGGCTTGCTTTATTAATCCGCATTAAAATTTAAATATTTCCATTGCTTTATGCCAAACGTCCTTCATGTCAGATGACTAGTATTTTAAATCAACTTTATGCCACACGGTTTTATGCCAAGTGACTTCATGCCAAGCCTCTTTATTTTAAACGACTTTGTACCCAATGAGCTTTGCCCCATTTAGCATTATGCCGATTAGAATAATAACCATTTGGCGTAAATGTGGAAAAACTTTACTTAAACCTGTAATTCAACGGAATATGAAAGAACAGCTGATGATAAAAAAGGGATAATAATTCAAGAGCAAATTTTCATTATGTATAAAGTAAAAAGATAAATAAAATCGAGCTATAAGTGTCAATTGATGCTCCTGTTATTACACTATATACTGTCCGAATATTGGATCAGATCACATTTTTTTAATTTATTTACCAGCCAAATTGCTTTTTGACGTAATCACCTTCCGATCAAAATATTTTTCGATGTCAATTAAGTCACCCGATTTCTATGAATATCCTTGTAAATAAATACACTTTGACTTAAGTAACATTAGGGGGCCACCAAACGGCGTATAATAACTTTTGACATAAAAACCAGTATTTTTAGCCTGAAAGCTAGCAATCTGCTTTGTATGATTAAAACCCTGCTTAATATGTTAAACATTGCTATCACTATGAAATTATATGTATTTAATTGGAAATAGGAATAACGTTTCGGTCATCAATACAAAACTTTATAATTCTCGGATCGGTGCGAATGTAACTTTCGACATAATGAAAATTTTCTCTTGAATTATATAATGTATATTTTCCCTTCTTTCGAGTATGAGTTGTACTCATGCTTGGCATGCACAGTTGTACACACCAACTGCTCAGTTGTTAATAACTTTTCACTCAGTTATTGAAATTTATTTTTCTTTAAAGTAATTGATATATTAGGATCATAGTTTACTATAGATATACAGAAAGTAGGTAAATCTTAACATTTTATTCAACATCAATGAATTTTTACACTTAGAGTCCGAGGTGTGCAGCGAGCATTACTCACCTTCATTTTTACAACGCAAAAACAAATACAGTTTATTACTAGAATTCTCGTTAGAATTAAAATCTTCTTTTTTTTTTACGTGTCTATAACAAGCTTAAACTCTATTCTATCTACTGCTTTAAAAAGAACTATGTTTAGTCAACTGTTTGCAAATTTATTAGCAAATGAGCAGCTCGTAACCAAAACTGTGTATGCCAAGCATGGTTGTATTTTCATATTTTTTGAAGAACAGATTATAATAAAAAATCTGTAACGTATATTGTACAATCCCGATTATACTAAACGGCAGTTATGCCAAATAGAGCAGAGCCATAATATAGGCTACTATCGAAGACAACATATCAGGCATGGAAGAGTTGGCTTGATATGTTGTCTTCGCTAATATTCAGGGTACATTCTACATTATATTATAAAATGGACTTCTATTGTGAGATCAGTTTACAGACGGAAACCCATATAAAGTACTACTCGAAACAAACATCTTGTTTTTCAAGGTAACTGCTTTCCATTGCTCAAGAAAATAGTGTTATGTTAGACGGACTTAAAATTATTGAGAATTGGTCCATTCGATTCGGGCGAACGGCTTTCGGACGAATGTTATAGGTAGTGATACGAATTAAAAAACCTTTCTACTCGAAGCACTGTTTATTATCTTACGGCTAAAGTCTCAAAAATTTTGCACACACTGCAGCAGCAAATCTCGCAGCTTCAAACGCAAACTTTGCTTCCCCCCACAAACGATATTGGTATTCTTCTCACTCACCTTGATCATCGTATCCTCACTGGCCAAATGCAGCGTAATTTCGTCCACTCCGCCTTGTTCCACCTTGATGTCGGTCATGCCGTCCTGCGCCAGCTTTTTCAGAAACAGATTCACATCCAGCGTCCCCCATTCGTACTTCACGTTTCGATACCGGGTCTGCGAAGGAGGCTGCAACTTGACAGCCTTGGATGTCTTCTGCTCTTCCAACTCCTCTTGGGTGGGTTCCAACGGATGTAGGTCATGGATGTTGTCCTTAACGTGGAGCACGCCGGTCACGGAAGAAATAGTAACGCCCGGTTGAACTTCATGCGGGACCAACGACCGGGCTATTTGGGGATCCAAGTAAATACGTGACCGTTTTCTTTTCAGAGGAAGCTTAATAACTTCTCCTCGTTTAAATTTGATGATCTTTTTGTCCGGTGGTTGATCTATAACCAAGTCCGGCTTATGGGGAGCAATCGGCGGTGGTTGGGTATAATTATCCGGAATGACCAGAACGCCAGGTTTTAATTCTTTGATGAGTTTGTTTGCTTGCTGGAAATTCAGAGAAGTTTCGATGGGGCAGTACACGGTTTTTATGGCCAGAGGTTGGTAAGGTGCCAGGGCTTGAAGATACGGGAAGTCTGGTTCTGTGAAGATAATTGTGTGCTGTGGGTTGGAGCCCCACAGTTCTACAAAGTGAACGGCATCTCCGAAGCGGAGACTTGGGTGACCACAGAAAACCACACAAGGTTGACGAAATTCTGTGCTGAATCCCTCCGAGTAGATATGCTTGAAGTGTTTCAACTTTGCATTTTTAACCAGACTGCCGTGCGGGAATGGTTCATCCGGAATGTATACTTTGTTTTGCTTCGAGGTAGATAGCCATTCCGCCAGGATATTTGAGTAAGCCAAGGAGCTATCTGCTACCGGAGAGATGAAGAACATTGGAATCTGAGAAAAGCCTTGATTGTCCAAACTTGATGAGAGGCATTCGAACAAATCGTACACTACCCCTGAGGGATAGCACGGAATGAGAACAGATCCACCGTTCCTAAGAGTCATGACAACATTCATACAGAGCTCTCCGAGCATTCCATCCGGATTGACGTGAGGAGCTTGAGTCAATCCAGTCATTATAACCACATCCGAGTACTTCAGCGCCGACTGATTAATCGGTCTTGGGTGCGTCGTCAGCGTGGAAGATCCACTAATATAAGATATTTTCTCTTGGCCTGAATTAATGATCCAATTGCTCGATCCCAAGCAAAAGCCGGAACTCACCGGAGTCACTTGAAGAGCGCCGAATATGTCCAATTTTTGATCGTATCCTGTCATTTGCACTCGAGCTAGGCTTTTATTCACCGCGTCCATGCTGAACAAATGTCTCCAATTCTTCGGTTTGAAAACATCATTCAAAGGCTGGGGAAGCAAATGCTGAATGTCTTTCCACACCCGAGCCGTGTTTTCCTTTGGTGATGCCTCAATGTATTCCACCAGTTCCTCAAGGAAAAATCTAAAAACCTGCCAAATTTAGCTATTTCCTAAGATTTGAAATGAGTTTAACTTACCGTCCGATCTGAAGCGTCGGTTCCGTGGCATAAACGGTTCCAGCGAAACCCGTTCCTTCTGTGATGAACGGAAGTGCCATCATGTTGGTATAGTTCGATATCAAGATGACATCAATTTCGGAAAAGTTTATCACCTTATCCAAGGGCGGTATGAACTCTGGTGCTGAGTTCACAAACGAGCATCCGCAGCACTCCTTTATTTCCTATTTTAAAGAAGAACAATCAGTCCATGTATCATAGCTAGAAACAAAACAAAAACCCAACTTACTCCATCATCCAATTGAATTTCCGGATCTCGACAGTTCCAGTTCGGCAACGATTGAAACTTGGCACTCTGGACCAGTGGAAGCGGAAGGAAATTCAGCACGGAATTTACCGACAGGCCACAATCCAGCATTATAAGCAGATCGGATATGCTGAGTACGTAACATGGCTTTGCCGGATCACCACTCAGTGCGTACTGAAATTGTGCCAAAATATCAATTGCTTGTAGCAGTATAAGTACTTCAAACATTACTTACCAATTTCATGCTGCTTAAGCAGAGTAATCAAGATGAATAATAGCAATTTTTAATTTAGTTCTGCAGTAAATTATTAACACCGGCTTGCGCGTTGAAAGTAAACAAAAACATTGGAGAAAGTGACATTTAATTTACTCTCGCTCCTAAAGGGTTACTCTCCGAAATTCTCTCTCTCTCTCTCTCTCGCTCTCTCTGTTATCACATTTTTCCATGGTTTATTTGTAGCGGCACGTCATTTTACCATAGATTTCATAGTGCAGGCAAGTTACTTTAATTTACATAAGAAAATGGATGTATTTTTTTCCTCTGTTCGGGACCTAACACTACTGCGACCAGTAAATTGATCAATTGTAGTATATCCCGTGTCATTAGTTTAGTGCATGTCTTATTACTCAATCACTATTGAGATATGATGAAGTATTCGATTTTTTTACAGTTGCCACTCTTGCATTTATCGCAAGGATCCGACTCTAAACTCTAATTGAAAGGTCCCGCTATTTATACCCTTCGGAGTGTTGAAACACCCTTCGAAGGCGCGCCCCTTTCTCAGTCAAAATTGGATTCCTTAGCAACAAAATTAAGGTATAACACCGATAATGACCATGCATCATAACCCTAGTCTTAACCACTTCAAACTAGGGAACAACGAATAGAAGATTAGGAATCACATAGATGAAGACAACTAACTCATTTTTTTCCCTTGTTTCAAGATCATCCTCGGCAGACAAAGCCGAGTCTTGTCACTATCAACAAGGCATAAAAAGTAACAAGGACTAAGATGTGTTACTTTGATTACTGAAAAATCCTGTTCCCCTAGTTTGAAGTAGTCAAGACTAGGAATCGGTGGTAGATTTTAAATCACGTAACGTACCACGAAAAGGTGATCTATCCACGTTACGGGTAAAATGGATGTAATTTCTACCATACATGAATTCAGTAATCGACTAAATTTTCAAAAGCGACCATAAATATCCATTAGTACTGTCCCAATGTTCATCTAGATAAAATTGACAAATAGCAGATTTTTAGTGATGGACCCAATCTTAGATCCATAGGCCAACATTAGAGCCATTTCTCCTACCTAATAATTATTTAATTTTTTTATTTAAACTATGGCAATTTTAGATAGAGCTGGAATTAGGGCGTCACAGCTTTTGAAATCAATGACTTCTCTCAATGATTTCTAAAAAGTCAAGGCTCGCCCATGCAAATCAACATCATCATCGGACAGGGGAAGACTTCTCCTACCCGATGGTTATGTTGGATTGCGTGGGCGTGCCTTGAATGGCTAGAAATCATCGAAAAAAGTAATTGTTTACAAAAGCTGTTATACCAACAATCAATACGAAACTAACGATTTTAAATTGGCTCACTACTTGACTAGCCTATTGGTCCCAAGCAAATCGATTACGTACCCCATTCTAGTCAAAATTCTAGTACTACACTATGTTTGTTTTGATTCGCTATGAAAGTTTGACAGATAAAATGAGGGGTTAGTGGATTTTTCTATGTTTCGAGGGGTGAAACGATTAGCTTGGGACCGAAGATAGTACCAGAGCTGAGCCAAAAAGTTGAGCACGTTTCTTCGGGACCTACTAGTCTTAGAGTTACCTCTATGGTTATACCCCAATCCCCTGTAGCCCCCTAGAATTATTTATGCTGAATTCGAATGTACAATAATAATGAGGATAAGGAAACATTTTACATAATTTGAGTGTATCAAGATCAATTAAACATTTTTCGCCAACATTATTCTTCTGTGAGAGTTTGAAGTGCTGTAAAATACGAAGCTGCTGTTCTGATAATCTGAAAAAGAAATGAAGGAAACTTGATTTAAATTATGTTTATTGGGACAAAGGTTTGCTAAAACGCCTTTCGCGTAAAGGTACCTAAAATGTTTCTTGCCAAAAATGTTTGCCTGCATCAAACTAGGTATGCGGTTTTCCTTCTGACTGAAAACACGCAATTGGCGTTGACGCCTTCCAGCAGAGATTGAGAATTTTTTATGGGAATTTACGGTGGAGTGAAAGGATAGTACCATAGAGGTAACTCTAAGACCACTAGGCCAACATTAGAGCCATTTCTCCTACCTAATAATTATTTAATTTTTTATTTAAACTATGGCAATTTTAGATAGAGCTGGAATTAGGGCGTCACAGCTTTTGAAATCAATGACTTCTCTCAATGATTTCTAAAAAGTCAAGGCTCGCCCATGCAAATCAACATCATCATCGGACAGGGGAAGACTTCTCCTACCCGATGGTTATGTTGGATTGCGTGGGCGTGCCTTGAATGGCTAGAAATCATCGAAAAAAGTAATTGTTTACAAAAGCTGTTATACCAACAATCAATCGAGCAAACAATACGAAACTAACGATTTTAAATTGGATCACTACTTGACCAGCCTATTGGTCCCAAGCTAATCGATTAACATAGCCCATTGTAGTTGACATTCTAGTACTACACAATGTTTGTTTTGATTTGCTATGAAAGTTTGACTGATAAAATAAGGGATTCGTGGATTTTCCTATGTTTCGAGGGGTGCATCGATTAGCTTGGGACCGAAGATAGTACCAGAGCTGAACCAAAAAGTTGAGCACGTTTCTTCGGGACCTACTAGTCTTAGAGTTAGCTCTATGATAGTACGAACACCGACGAACCGACATGCCACTGGAGTATTTAGTTTGTCCGTAATTCAGTTTGTCAAAATTTGATTTAATGAGCGATTTGATCTGTCGAACGGGTGATCAGATCTGTCAAGCAAGGTGAGACGCAAACCAAGACAATATAAATTTTACGTGTGTTCGTGTCCTAGCTCACGATATGACGCGATCGGATGAGTAGATGGCGGTAGTGTTTAAGGTGATGCCCTGTAGCGTCCTTTTTCGTGTTACACTTCGCAATTTCACATGTAAAAATAATAAGATTTCTGTGAATGCACGTAGCTAAAACTGCTACTTGTTGTTTGCTGCGGAGAAGCAAGCAATGTCTGAAATTTGCAAATGTATAAGCCCCGTAGATCTTGAGTTGTGTGCTTTTGAAATTGTGAGGTGTGATGGAAAATTGGACTCTACAAGGAAACACCTTAACGTATTTTAAATATGCGTCGTTGATGTTCCTTCCGAAGTCAAAAGTGACAGTTACGCTATATCGAGGTATACCCATAGAGGTAACTCTAAGACCACTGGGTCCCGAAGAAAATCATTATTATTTTTGGCTCACTCAGTACCAGAACAACGGTCCCAAGCAGTCCCAAGCTATTTCACTCACCCCTGCATGTTCTGCATGAATCCACACACCCCTGATGTTATCTGTCAAACTTTCATACCGAATCAAAACAAACATAGTGTAGTAATAGAATTTCAACTAGAATAGGGTACGTTAATCGTTTGCTTGGGACCAATAGGCTACTAAAGTGGTGAGCCAATTTAAAATCGTTAGTTTCGTATTGATTGTTGGCGGTAGTGTGTAAACGTCAAACGCAAGGGAATTGACTATGCGCGCCACAGTTGGCGGTACTACCAACAATCAATACGAAACTAACGATTTTAAATTGGCTCACTACTTGACTAGCCTATTGGTCCCAAGCAAACGATTAACGTATCCCATTCTAGTCGAAATTCTAGTACTACGCAATGTTTGTTTTGATTCGCTATGAAAGTTTGACAGATAAAATGAGGGGTTATTGGTTTTTCCTATGTTTCGAGGGGTGAATCGATTAGCTTGGGACCGAAGAGAGTGACAGAGCTGAGCCAAAAAGTTGAGCACGTTATTTCGGGACCTTCTAGTCTTAGAGTTACCTCTATGGTACTACCAACAATCAATACGAAACTAACGATTTTAAATTGGCTCACTACTTGACTAGCCTATTGGTCCCAAGCAAACGATTAACGTACCCTATTCTAGTTGAAATTCTATTACTACACTATGTTTGTTTTGATTCGCTATGAAAGTTTGACAGATAACATCAGGGGTGTGTGGATTCATGCAGAACATGCAGGGGTGAGTGAAATAGCTTGGGACTGCTTGGGACCGTTGTTCTGGTACTGAGTGAGCCAAAAATAATAATGATTTTCTTCGGGACCCAGTGGTCTTAGAGTTACCTCTATGGTAGAACTCTTTGAGGAGCATTGATGTAGATTTGGCCACGTCACCGTTCATATCGAATCAAAACAAACATAGAGTAGTACTAGAATTTTGACAAGAATGGGGTACGTTAATCGATTTGCTTGGGACCAATAGGCTAGTCAAGTAGTGATCCAATTTAAAATCGTTAGTTTCGTATTGATTGTTGGTAGTTCTTCTTTACATTTTTCAGTACACTCAATTCTGTTTTTACGCGACTTTTTTGCCTCTATTTTTGATCGTGTGATCGTGTAATCAAATATAATGCAACTTGTTTCAAAAAATCACAAAAAATCTAAGAAAAATCAGGTGTCATTAAAAATGCTGTACCCATTCAGCATGAGGGCAAAATCGAAAAAAAGCATTAATAAAAACGCGTAAAAATAGAATTTAGTGTATTTATCGAAAACTAATGACCGGTTAGGCTCTATCCTAAGAAAATCATAAAACAATAATTTTCCTAGCTTTCCTATGATTGGTCTGTAGTTTCCATATTTCTAAAACGGTAAATACACCACTCTGAAATTTTCACCAGTGAAAGGTAAGATGAAATCATGAAATCATTAGGAAAAAATGCATTAATCCATCCACCGTAAAAATATCCGTGGAGCACATTTTTCAGATTATATTTTTCATGGATTGCTGAGATAATTTCCTTATAATCTAACTACACAAGGTTCTTTCTACATTGGTTGGTTCAAAACTGATACTAAATTTTTCTGGAAAAATTAACCACCCCGAATTTTTCGATTTTTTTTTTCATTCACCCACATTAGATCCGGATTTGAAGCATTGTAGCAAATTTACAACTAATTTTTTTGTAGAACTGCCAAATATACGACAACGCAAACTTACACTGAGGCAAATAAACGTAAGAATTTCATAAGACTCGACTTATGACATACGAATTTCATAAGCGTAACTTATGAATGATTTTCGTCTAACATGAGGTAGCCTGCTTTTAAACATTTAATTTTCCCAAGTGTTGAAATACGAGTGGTCAACACACGGGGCCCGTAATCTCAACGTCCATAGTTCGGTTCTTATCTGCTCCATTAAATTTTTTTTTTTGTCAATATTATTTTTCATAAAGCAAATCCAAAAATTCATATCGATTTCTTGTGACTAAAATTCATAAGTGATTCTTATGGAATTCTTACGTTCTTTTACCTCAGTGTACGGATCTAATGTGGGTGGCCTTTATCAGAGGGCAAAATATCATAAAATTCTAAGACCTTTCAGCCCACTTTGTCTGGTTATAAAAAAAATAGCCAGATCTCAAAAATTGTTTTGTCCAAATATTGCTGTTTTTATTAATCCAGGCAACCTATTTTGTTTTGCCGAGTAAAATCCAGTAACCTGATCAAAGGATAAATTAATTTAAAAAATCTCAAATGAACTAAATTTAGCAAGAACAGAAAACTACACAGACAGCTAAAAAGTAAAAACCGTTCAAATTCATTCACATTTTATGAATTTCAAATAGAAAGTATTATACCTAACATATTTATATATTTGGATACTTATCAGACTGTCAGTACTTTGTAACCAATTGCGTTAGCCATCAAAATAATCAAATCGTCATATTTTCACAAGTGATATTTACGTTTACGTGCTATGTACATACAAACTCACCGACAGATACGTCTCCAGTGACATCACAATCAATTTATAAGCACTGATGTCCACCGTCTTCTGTACGTCCAGAAAGAATATGTGCAGCGTTGTTTTGAACTTTTTCGAACACTTGTACCAATCACAATCGTATACTGACTTCGGTAACTGTATGCTCTAGTTGGGCCAGTGGCATTGAATAATGGGCACCGATCGAAAGTCAGCATGTAAAAAAAAATCATTATGTGATGAAGGGTAACGATAATGAGTGCATATTTATTATTTACCTCATTCTGGACTCTTTGTCCGTACCAGCAGAATTGGAACAATTGATAAAATGCAGCGATCAAGTACAGCACCATCACCAAGATTTGCGAGTCGCCTTCGTTCTGTTTGCGTTCCGAGGTTGGAAATGTTTACATCAATAATGAGTTGTGGAGAAGGGAGGGGTTCATTCATGATTCAGAACTACATACCGCATTGGCACTGGCGTGAAATGCAATTACGCAGATAATGGACGTACTGGTAAAGACTTGAAGAATTAAAATTGGCGAAAAAATCCGATTGATGTCATTTAAAAACCTAAAAAAAAAAGATAATTAGTACAATAGATGAATACATTCAACCATCATACTTCAAGGCTCTAGCATGATGTTCGATGCATTCATGGAGAAAAAATTGCTTTTCTAGATCTGTGAAGTTTTCGTTTGTCGTTTCTCCGATGAACAAGTTAAGTGACTTGAGCATCGCGATCATATGCATCGTCAGTAGCACGTACAATCCATCGAACGCCACCACCCCAGCCAATGTTGTGTAACCGGACAGCGATTCCGAACAGAATAAGACTTCATGAAGGGGGCTGTAGTACTTTGAGTTTTCCATGTTGCGGTAATACGTCTTGTAAACTAAAGTTAATAGAAGAAAAATCAACGCTTCACGAAAAAATGTAACACTGAAAAAATATTACCAAATCTTCTTGGGACGTCGTTGCGTTGAATGAGATTTAGAAGATTGATAATAGCAGGAACGATGGAGTAGGAACTTGCAACTACGCTAACCGAAAAGCAATAGAGCTGCAGATTAATTTTTACCTCTTTCCATTTATCTTTCATTATTTTATCAAGTTTTTGGAAAATTTCAGCGTTATTGCCTGAAAATATCGCTTGTCAGCTTAAGTCAAATAGCATTTATGTGGAACTGACCTTTCTTCAGAAATCTTATTTTCCTCATGAACTCGTGGTTCTTCATCAGCTCAAGTATGGTGTAAATCTCATCGGAAAAGCCGTGCAATCGCATGATTTTTATGCCTGTGATACTGATGCTGCAAAATGAACACAGACCCTGAGAATAGAAGGGAAAAAGATGTAAGCTTGATTTTTTAAATCAGTCACTGATTTTAGTTTTCTTCTTTCCTTTATTTAACGTTGGTCTCTGTTTGCAATCGAGAGCCAATCACCGAGTGCGTCGCCAATTGGTGATTAATCACCGACGGCAATCGGGTTTCAGGAAGGCAACTCCATACCAAGAGCCTATCAAACGGCCTATCAAGCACCCTGAAGTATAAAAAACGTCCCAGATCATTTATTCTATTTCCTGGAATTATACAAAGTTCCCTGAACTTTAACGAAGTTCCCCAATTTTGTAACTTCTGTTTTTTTTTTCCAAAAAATATATTCAATTTCATGAATTTAGTCTCAAGCTATATTACAAGTCTTACCGAAGTTTTAATGCATTCCTCAAGACTCTAATCTTCAACACCAAGATAAAACCTGATTTGCTACTTGGGCTACGAAGTCTCTTGAACATTTTGAACATAAGTTCAATGCAGTTTGTTAAATTTGTTAAGGCTTGATGAAATTCTACAAAATTCTCTGCACTTCTTCGAAGTTCAAGGGCTACAAAATGGTGATTTACCAAACTGGAAGGAGCGGAATACCTAGCCCTGGTCCTCACAAGCTCCTACTTCACGCCTCTCCGAGTCATATGATAACAAAAGACTACCAGCTGAAACATGGACACAGATGGGTGGCGTAGCCTGGGCAATGTTGCCAGTCCGACAATAGCAAAGTGAAGAGATGCGACGCGAACACTGGCGTGGTAACCATAGTATGGTGCTAGAGGAAATGCTTCCCCAAACCCGAGCGTCTGTTCACCATGGAGGTTTGTCTTAAAACGGCGTATGTTCTCCATGTTAGGAGCGACTTATCACCGTCCTAGTGCCAACGTGGGACTCTAAATAGAGCTTCTTCTTTTTTTTCCTTTGATTTGTATTCCGTCGATCTTGTTTTCCGTGCTGAGCACCAATGCTACCGACGTCAGGGAGGCAGCTCCCACACCTGAACCCTATCTATCGACCCGTCAACTCATGAACCGGGGACCGAAGGAAGGCGTGATCAGAGATGTTATGCCTCAGAACACCCCGGCGGCGCCGACTGGGCCAGCTGGAGTGTGAGGTAATTACGCTTACCACTACACCACCGGCGCCGCTACTCTAAACAGAGCTGTGCAGACCTACGTGACGAAATGAGAACTACGGTTGGAAACTCGGAACATGGAACTGCAAATCGCTCGGCTTCCCGGGCTGCGATAGGTTAATCTATGACAAACTTCAACCACGCAACTTCGAAGTCGTAGCACTGCAAGATCTTTGCTGGACGGGACAAAAGGTATGGAAAAGCGGGCATCGAGCGGCTACTTTCTATCAGAGCTGCCGATCAACGCGAGGATATGCAAGTTGAGGATTAAGGGCCGTTTCTTCAACTACAGCATCATCAACGTGCACTACCCACACGAAGGGAGACCCGACGTCGAGAAAGAAGCGTTCTATGCGCAGCTGGAGTAGGTGTACGACGGCTGTTCGCAACGGGACGTCTTAATCCTCATCGGCGACATGAACGCTCAGGTAGGACGGGAGGCAATGTATAGATCGGCAATCGGGCCAAACAACCTGCATGCCGTATCGAACGACAACGACCAACGATGCGTGAACTTTGTAGCCTCTCGAAGTATGGTAGTTCGAAGTACCTTTTTCCCCCGCAAGGATATCCACAAAGCCACCTGGAGATCACCTGATCAACACACAGAAAACCAAATCAATGACGTTCTAACCAACGGAAAATTCTTCTCCGACATTATCAACGTCCGCACGTACCGCAGTGCGAACATAGATTCGGACCACTACCTAGTTGCAGTATGCATGCGCTCAAAACTCTCGACGGTGCATAACACCCGTATGACCCAACATTGAGCAACTACAGCTTCTTATGAAGATGGCTGGAGGGACATCCGTTCCGCTATCGGTAGTACTGCTGCAGCGGCACTAGGTACTGCAATCCCGGACCGAAGAAATGACTGGTTTGACGGCGAATGCAAACTGTTAGTAGAGGAGAAGAATGCAGCACGGGCGAGAATGCTGCAACACCGCACGAGATTGAATGTGGAGCGATACAGACAAGCGCGGAACAGACAAAACTCGGTTTTCCGAAGGAAGAAGCGTCAGCAGGAAGATCGAGATCGAGACGATGGAAAATCTGTACAGCGTAAACGACACACGAAAGTTCTACGAGAAACTAAATAGTTCGCGCAAAGGCTACGTGCTGCAAGCCGATATGTGCTAGGACTTGGACGGTAACCTTCTCACGAACGATTGTGAGTACTATGACGAGCACCTCAACGGTGAAGCAACAGAAAACGAAGGTGGCACGGCAACAGACCTTGGATCACGCGCAGAAGACGACAGGCTACCGTTCCCTGATCTTCAAGAAATTGAGGAGGAGATCGGTCGGCTGAAGAACAACAAAGCAACTGGTGTAGATCAACTACCAAGTGAGCTATTCAAATACGGTGATGAAGCACTGGCTAGAGCGCTGCACTGGGTAATTGCCAAGATTTGGGTTGAGGAGATATTACCGGAGGAGTGGATGGAAGGTGTCGTATGCCCAATCTACAAAAAGGGCGACAAGTTGGATTGCTGCAACTACCGCATGATCACACTGCTGAGCGCCGCCCACTAGGTACTTTCCCAAACTCTATGCCGCCGCCTGTCACCATTTGCAGAAGAGTTCGTGTGGCTATACCAGGCGGGATTCATGGGTGCCCGCTCTACCACGGACCAAATTTTCGCGATTCGGCAGGTTCTGCTGAAATGCCGCGAATACAAAGTGCCCACACATCATTTGTTCATCGATTTCAAATCCGCATACGACACAAGCGATCGAGATCAGCAATGGCAGATTATGCACGAGTACGAATTTTCGGATAAACTGACGCGATTGGTCAAGGCGACGATGGATCGAGTGATGTGCGTTGTTCGAGTACCGGGGACACTCTCGAGTCCCTTTGAATCTCGAAGGGGGTTACGGCAAGGTGATGGACTTTCGTGTCTGCTATTCAACATCGCGTTAGAAGGTGTAACCAGAAGAGCTATGATAGACACGAGCGGCACGATCTTCAGGAAGTCCATTCAGCTTCTTGGCTTCGCCGATGACATTTACATCATGGCACGGAACTTTGATCCGATGGTGGAAACGTACATCAGACTGAAGGCTGAAGCTAGGCGGATTGCACTTGCCATCAACGCATTAAAGACAAAATACATGAAAGGAAGAGGTTCTAGGGAAGACAATGTTAGTCTCCCACCCCGAGTTCAGTTTGACGGTGACAAAATCGAAGGTGGTCGATGAGTTCGTTTATTTGGGCTCACTGGTGACCGCCAAAAATGATACCAGCAGAGAAATTCAAAGACGCATTATGGCAGGGAATCGTGCCTACTTTGGACTCCGGAGGACGCTCCGGTCGAATAAAATTCGCCGCCACACGAAGTTGACTGTCTACAAGACGCTGATTAGACCGGTGGTCCTCTACGGCCACGAGACCTGGACTATGGTCGTGGAGGACCAACGCGCCCTTGGTGTTTTCGAAAGGGAGGGGTTGCGTACCATCCTGAACCCTACCTCGGTGGAGTGCAGATGAATGACGGAACGTGGAGGAGGTGAATGAACCACGAATTGCATCAGCTGCTGGGAGAACCATCCATCGTCTACATTGCAAAAATTGGGCAACTACGGTGGGCTGGGCACGTCCTAAGAATGCCGCACGACGACCCAGTGAAAATGGTTCTAGAAAGCGACCTAACAGGAACAAGAAGAAGAGGCGCGCAGCGGGCAAGGTGGATCGACCAAGTAGAAGGCAACCTGCCGTCCCTTCGCAGACTACGAGGCTGGCGAAGTGTGGCCATGGATCGAGTAGAGTGGAGACGACTTCTTCGGACAGCAGAGAACAACAAGGCCTTAGCCTGATTGGTAAGGTAAGGTTCTACGAAGTTCAATGAAGTTCACTGGAGTTTACAAAGTTTACTGAGCTTTTACACAGTTAGCTGAACTCTAGGTTCTACTACGAATTGGTTTTGACTTCTCTGAAGATTCAGTTAAAAAAAGTGTTTATATATATATAGCACAGGTGCTTTAGCACAACACTAATTTCAATTTCAAAATCAGAGCATAAGCTCGTATACTGGTTCTCCACCTGTTAAATGTTTTGATAGCAAGCATCATAGTAGTATAATAGTAAGCATAACCAATTTTAAAGGTTCATGCAAAGCGATGCGCAACAAATGATGACGATTATGACGTCTGGGTTGGATAAAACGTTTATTTTATGCAAACGGTGACAAAATTATTACAAATAATTTGTACATAGTTTTTTATGTAAAATTGGAAAAGTATTTATAAGAGTAGAATAGTAGAGTTATGTCCTATCGATCGGTGTATTTGGATTTTAATTTCACCTATAAATGTCAAAGTTATAAGCGTTCAAAACCTAACACTTTTTCGTCACGGTCGCAATTTTAGATTTTAGATTTACCCCCTGTACCCTCCCGTAAGGCGTAGTCTACGTCAAAAACACAGGCAAGACA